TGTGTGTATATATATATATATATATATGAGGTATACGGGTGGTGTATGTATATATATATATATATATATATATATATATATATATATATATATATATATATATATATATATATATATATATATATATATATATATATATATATATATATATATATGTGTGTGTGTGTGTGTGTGTGTGTGTGTGTGTGTGTGTGTGTGTGTGTGTGTGTGTGTGTGTGTGTGTGTGTATATATATATATGTGTGTGTGTGTGTGTGTGTGTGTGAGTGTGTATGTATATGTGCAGGTTTATGTTCATGTTTACTGTCAGATCTAGATCGTGATTATGGCTCCATCTTGTGGTGAGAAGGGGATTATCTTCCCTACTGGAAAAAAAAAGCATATGTTGGTAAGGTGTTTTGATGCTGGATTTGCTGGCCTTGATTTTGGTCTTGCTGGTCTCAAACTGGTTAAGACCAGCATCAAGACTAACAAAACCAGCCTACTAGCATGAAAACATACCCTACCAGCATATAAGCATATCAGCAGTGTTGCCCCTAAAACAAGCTGATAAATGTGCATATATATGCAAAAATATATATGCAAGTTATTTAAAAGCAGAATAGAAATGAAAGATAATATATTTAAATACAGTTAGAGCAAAAATAAATCCACAAACTCCTAAGTTTCTCTTTATCCCCGCTCCCCCCTACTCATAACATTTTATTCCATATTTCCCCCCAACATATTAATGTATGACATTTGTGCTGAGATCTTCAGTGTTGTCAGATGAGTTGATCAGCACTGACTAATCCACTGTATCTGCACACAGACGATATGACTGTTTAAGAGAGATCTGTGAGGAGTGTGCTCAGTTATGTGCATCACATCTCAAAGCATGAGAAAGCACAGCAGCCCTTGCTTTAATAGTTCTGCTGCAGTGTTTCAAAGAAGCCCTCTATTAAACGTGTTCTCCTCCACACTGACCTACATCTGTGAGCAAAGCTGACCCAGAAGCGTCGGTGATTCACATCTCTATTAGGAGCCTCTTCTGTTCAGACACCGCACAACACACCAATGCTGGATTTGGCCATTTCAATTATTAACAGTTTGACGTGTGTGTGTGTGTGTGTGTGTGTGTTATTCCCTTTGTGTTAAATAATCTGTTTATCTGTTAATCTGTTTAATAAACTCACATAATCTGTGAGTCAAACACATAATGGACAGGTTGTGCTTTCAGGCTGAACATTTACATTGTAATTTCTTTTTAAAGTGTTATATTTATGTTAAATCATAAAACTAGTTAATGTATATCAGATACTATGGTAGTTTAAAAATACTGTTTTGTGAAGTATATGATGGTTAAGTACTTGATTAATCTGACATGATGATTCTACAGTTGCTATGGTAACAACAACTATATTAATTGATCTGTTGTGGTAATATTACAGTTGCTATGGTAACAACAACTATATTAATTGATCTGTTGTGGTGATTCTACAGTTGCTATGGTAACAACAACTATACTAATTGATCTGTTGTCACGATTCTACAGTTGCTATGGTAACACAATGCCTATAGTAATTGATCTGTTGTCACGATTCTACAGTTGCTATGGTAACACAGCAATTATAGTAATTGATTTGTTGTGGTGATTCTACAGTTGCTATGGTAACACAATGCCTATAGTAATTGATCTGTTGTGGTGATTCTACAGTTGCTATGGTAACACAATGCCTATAGTAATTGATCTGTTGTGGTGATTCTACAGTTGCTGGAATCATTGGGAAGCTTATTAATCCAGTTTTCAGAGGTTGTGTAAATCTTATGACTGAATGGTAGTTACTGCAGAACACCATGACTGACACTGCTGAGTAACCTGGATGCTCGCCGGACATTTCTAGGTCACGTCACCTCTAAAATCTAAAATAAATGAAGATTGCATGAAAAGCAAACGCAGCAGAGAGCATCCAGGCGGATGCATTGTGCTCTCCATGATGCCTTCTGTGATGCACAGCTCTTCTGCTGAGTTTGGAGACGCTGCTGTCAGTTCTGAGATCAGACAGTAAAGCTGCGTTCTGTCACGCACTGTGCAAAGTTCTTGTAAGTACCTCAACTTTCATAGTGCGGAGTTGAACCCACGTGTTGTCTTATATCAAGCCGTTTTGACATTTAATCTATAGCCCATACTAGTGTCTCTTTTCATACTACTAGTGCTCATACTTTAGATTACAAATAAGAGTACTTATTAAATCAACACTAGTGCTTGTTCACTGGGTACTAGTACTCTAATGAATAAACAGTGTGTGTGTATAGATATACCTGTAGGGTAGCTTGAGTTAAAGACTTAAAGAGCATTGTGTAATAATTTATGAATGGCGTTTAGTGGTGTTTTTGTTTGTGTTATGTTTGCGTTATGTGTGTGTGCTAACCTGCTCTTTTGATTGCCCAGGGTAAGGTAGACAATACAGGGTTAACTGGAATAACCCATGGCTTCTCTCCACAGAATACTATCAGAGCTGGAAATAGTCGTGTGGTGGACGTTTTGTGTGGTGTTTTTGAGGCAGATGTGGCAGCAAACACAACCTAAGAGTCAGTTTCACAACTGTTGCCAGGTGTGTGAGCTTAATAATATTGATATCAGAAGTGGGAACACGGTGGCTCCCTGGTTAGTACTGTGGCCTCACAGCAAGAAGGTCGCTGATTCGAGTCCCGGCTGGGTCAGTTGGTGTTACTGTGTGGATAATGCAAACAAAAATGCAAACTCCACACAGAAACACACACTGACCCAGCCGAGACTCCAACCAGCAACCTTCTTACTGTGAGGCCATAGTGCTGACCACTGAGCCACCGTGCCACCCCTTTTGCTTTTATATTACAATACAGGTGAAGTCAAAATGATGCAACCTTTCTGAGAATATTGTTTTCTTTGTCAATTATTTCCCACATGATGTTGAACAGATTCAGGAGTTGTTCACAGTATTTGCTCTAATGTTTGTTCTTCTGGAGAAAGTCTTACTTGTTTTATTTCGGCTTGAATAAAAGCAGTTCTTAATAGTTTTAAAGTCATTTTTAGGTCAATATTATTCGCCCCTTCAGCAATATTAGTGTTGGATTGTCTCCAGAACAAACCACTGTTATACAATGACTTGCCTAATTACCCTAACTTTACCCTAATTACCCTAGTGAAGCCTTTACATGTCACTTTAAGCTTAACAAGTGTCTTGAAGAATATCTAGTCTAATACTATGTGCTGTCATCAGAGAAAGAAACTATTAGAACTGACTTATTAACTATTATGCTATGTTGAACAGCACTTAAAGAAATAATTCAGCTTGAACTGTATACTGTACATTTTAATGTGTGATTCACCAATAATTTGTGAGCCATACAAGAGATTTCCCCAGTGTGAGCCGTTCATTCAGTGCAGTTTCAGTGGTGCTGAAAGGCGTCATACTCTTCTCCTCTTTTAGAGCTGAATCTTGATCCAGAAATAATCCTGATGTGAGCTCCACATTATCTCCTCCACAGAAAACCACAATGGCTGCGCTGGAGAAGGAAGAAAGACTAAAAGGTTTGCTGATGGATTGCCAGTGGTGGAGCTGTGAGATTTTCTGCTCTAGTTTTCAAGCAGAAACACCATCATCATCAGTCAGTGTGGCACAATAGCAGATACAAGCTGTAGATCACAAGCCAGAGCTGGAGGTCAATGCATGTGGAAATAAATAAATAAATAAATAAACTGTATACATATAATAAATAAATAAACTAAATCAACCAATAAATAACAATAAATTAATAAAAAACAAACAAACGTATAAATCAATCAATAAATAACAATAAAAAAATTAGTAAATAAAATATATTAAATAATACATAAATTATTATATGATATATATATATATATATATATATATATATATATATATATATATATATATATATATATATATATATATATATATATATATATATATATATATATATATATATATATATATATATATATATATATATATATATATATATATATATATATATATATATATATATATATATATATATATATATATATATATATATATATATATATATATATATATATATATATATATATATATATATATATATATATATATATATATATATATATATATATATATATATA